CGGGATTATTAAATCTCTTACCACAATAGATATTGTTTTCTATGAATGCAGATCGTGGACTCCAAATCAGAATTCATTGTGGGGTGCTGCCACAGCTGATGAGAAAATGGTTGCCCACTCTAGATCAGTAGATAGCTGGGGAACAAATAGAGATGATACGGGTGGAAGCAAGGAAGCTTGGAACAAAACTAGAGTTTCATCAGAGAATGAGACCCCTGGTTTATTGGTCTGCATGGAGTGCCAGAGCAGCAGCCATAGAAGATAATTTAAACATTTTATTTCATTTTGAAACTTCTTTTTATTTAGGTGGTGTTGTATCACATTGTAACGTTGAAGTGTATGAATTCAAAAATTTATAATGAAATTATCAATTTTAATGCAATTCCAAAATGTGTTCACAAAGTATTATTTTTAATTTTGTGGGTCAATTACCATATATCTAAAAAAAAAAGTCTACCGCAACGTTTAAAAAACGCTGCAAAATGTGTTTTTTATCAACGTTTAAAAAACGTTACAAAAACCTTTTTTGGCAACGTTTTTTTCGCAACGTTTAAAAAACGCTGCAAAATGTGTTTTTTTATCAACGTTACAAAAACCTTTTTGGCAATGTTTAAAAAAACGTTGCCATATCTTGTCACTTTACAGCAACACTGAGATTTACAGCATTTGCCCAAATGCTACAAAAGGTTTTTGGCAACGTTCGTATCCTATTTTTGGCGTAGTGTATAGACAATTTATCTTGTATGATTTTGATACTATCCAAAAAGGATTTAATATGCTTAAGCATAATTCAAGTGATATTATAATTAGAGGAGTAAATACGTGTTATACTCTTTTTCCTTGATCGAGGTTTGTCCAGTTAGATTTTCCCGTCAAGGTTTTTAATGAGATACTTTTCTAGTATTCAAAAGTGTAATGTACTCTTTTTCTTTGATTAAGATTTTTCCTAAATGATTTTTTCTAATAAGATTTTAACGAGTTATATTCTTTATGTAATGAATATTCATAATCTAAAAGATATTTACCCTCAGAATAATACTATGATATGTACGAGACTCATGAAAAGATCAACAAATGCTATTTTTTGAATCATCATGTTGCTATAGTTATCAAATTTTGTCTCACTAATTTTTTTTTGAAGACATTGACATACAAGATATCAATATTGAAGATAATGACATACAAGATATGGATCGCTTAATACAAGAATTAAAATTAGTGGGAGTACACTCTTTTTCCTTCGATCAAATTTTGTATCACTCAATTTTCTTGACATGGTTTTAATGAGACATGATTTTATTATTCCAAATTATTTGTACTCTTTTTCATTTGTTGGTATTTTTGTCCCATTAAATTTTTGCCAAAAAAGATTTCAATGAGATAGTTATTTTGTAAATAACCATTCATAGGAGAGTGCTTTAAATATAGTAGTATTTATGAATGACTTTTATATTCCTGTAACCCTAGTCGCTATAACTGTTGTATTCCTTATAACCTTAATTCTTCCCTATAAATAGGAGTTTTGGTTTTTTTTCCCCTCTCTAATTTGTAACAATTTAATATTTTTATTGTAAGTAAATGCATTGCAGCAATATAAATTTAACGTAAGGCTCATCACCCCATTTTTGTCCTCACGTTTCTCTTGTATTGTCAGTCTTTTGTATTTTTTTTCTTCATTTCCCATCATGTAATTCTGATTCCATACCTAATGTTGACACACAAAATGTGCAGCCCAATTCAAATGGCCCAAGAAAGGAAATGGCCCAAGAGAAGAAGCCCATTTAGAGAGATCAGGGTAAAAGCCCGATCAAGAATATCATTAAATATGATGAAAACCTAAAAAGAAAGGTACGTCGTTGCCCAAGCCTGCAGAACGCCCAGATGCTGAGCAAATGAAGTATCCTGTAATCGTCCAGAGCAGAAGACCAATTGTCGCCCAAAAATGCTGAGTCGCCCAGAGTCCCGCGATGACTAAAGCTTGCGGTTATCCAAAGTCACGATTTAAGGCGGTTTGAGCACATCACAATTACGCCCCACGATTTGAGAAAGTTGGTGACAAGCAGTTATAAGAAGATGTGGTGATAGGAGTTACACACGGTAGTTATTGGGCCAGTCGGCCATTATGAGAGAAATGGGTAGTTACAAACAGTTTCTAAACAATTAAAAACTGCTCGAGTCTTATAAAAGAAAGAAGAAGACAAAGAAGATAACCTCGACAAAATTCACTCTCAAACAAAGAATATGTAATTTACTTTTTCCTAGATTAACTTTAATTATTTCAATTTCCTTATACTTGTGTGCTTGCACCCCTTGGAGGCATCTTGTTCGTGTCCAAACTGTAATCTTCATATTCAATAAACACCCCTTTTTGGGACTTTGTTCCAAGAGGTTTGTCCCTTACACAATCGTCTGATCCCTTTTTAATTGTTAGCGAGTAAACGCGCGAAACAATTTGGCACGCCCGGTGGGACAGTTGGTGTTTGAAGATACAAAAGGAAAACATTATGCCTCATAAAAGTTCTGATAAAGCACCAACAAGTCACGAAGTAGTCCAGTCTGTGATCGAGCGATACGAGGAGCAGCAACATTCCCCTTATGGAAGGACAGACTCCAAGCAGTCACAGTCATTATAAACCAATGATAGAGTTGAGTCCTCGAACCATGGGTGTATTGCTTGGAGAACTCACACAAGATGTCGTTGAACAGGTAAATTTATGAAACGTCCATAATATGGAAAAATTTACCCAGAATGGAAATGTTCACTATGATAACATGGCCAAACAATTAAGTGCTTTGAACGATCTTATGAGCAAATTAGTAGGCCAAGTATGTCAACCAACCATACCCATAAGAAGTCATTTCCAAACCAGGACAATTGTGGGACATACTTCACCACACAATTTCCCTGGTTTGAACCCAGGTCCAGGTATAGAAACATTTTTTGGCCCTTCCACCTCAAATCA